GTGGAAAATTGTGCAAATTTGATTTTTCACTTCTTTTAAGGTATTTTTCGTTTGAGTAGTAGATTTTTGTGCAGCTTCATTTGTATGAAATGCTGTAAAATCGCACTTGCCAAATATAATTTGTACAAATTCTTCAAGAGACTGTGTTTTAATCATGTCTGAGCATTTAACTCTCCTTCATTCACTCTCACTGCTAAATTAAATAGTTTCTGTCCATTCTCAGTCTGAATTTAGTGTTAAATTAATGGGTTTGTGTCCATTTTCAGCCTGGTGATGTTCAACTTGTGCAAGCTAATGATTCCCCAACTACAAGTCTGGCAGAGACAGAGTGAGAGAGAGAGAGAGAGAGAGATAGCTGTCCAACCTGCATGTCCACAATGAAAGGAAGAATGTTGAGCTCTGCTGATTTAAGTCGAAAAGCAATTACAGCTCTGAATTAGTTTTTGAATTAAAGAGCAATTGTAAAAGCTCAGAGGTTAACTGTTTCCTGTATGTTCATCTTTCTCACTTTTACCCACTAAGAGCAAATAATCCTGTTACAGAATTCGACTCATTGAAAATTGAAGGTGACATTTGACATGCAATTCAGTGTTCTCTGTCTCTCTCTCTCTCTCTCTCTCTCTCTTTCTCTCTTTTTCTCTCTCTCTCTCTCACTCTCTCTTTCTTTCACAAATTTGACAGGTAATCAGGCAATTCTTTGCTCCCCCCTTCCCTTTCCCTTTCTCTTTTCCTTTGGTTCTTCAAATATTGATGTAGCCCTATCAGGAGAGGGCGTAATTGTTTTTCGTCTCACTTCATGTTTCTTCATGCTCCGTCTTCGCTCTCCCTCCTTGTTCACCTCAGACTTGGTGACAGATCCCACTCCTAAACTTAATGAAGTTTGAAATAGAACCCTTAGCCACAATTATCCCTTCATAGGTGTTGTTGTCATGGAAATGATGGCACTATCTTCTGGCAATTACAACAGAGCCAGTGTCTCCTGTGAAAATGTAGTTCAATCAGGATCAGCCAAAACTGTCGTGGCCAACTAAGGACTAAATGAACAACATCTCACAAAGAATATCTGCGTTATTTCCACATGAATAAAATATATATTACATTAACACAATTTTGCCCTTCACTGGCCATAATCTCTTTGCAAAACAGATTGACACGCCTCTCTGCCAATCACAACTGTCTCAAAGTGCTACTTACTCCATCTTGTGAAGGAGAAACTTCTCACAACAAACGGCAGTGGCAGTAAATGAATCAGAATTATTAGACTACGAGAAGTGCAAAAAGTGCTATTGGGAAGCTAGCAAGTCAGACATGCACTGTTTCTCCTTAATTCCCAGCTGGAAAAGTTTCGGATTAAACTATGTTGTGGACCACACTCACAGTTCAGTGTCAGAACTAGCAACATGTGGACTGATTTTATTTTAATAAGATGTCTCACAATAAATAATGTTGTATAACAATGTTAAGAACAATGTTAAGTAAGTTTTTCATAACCTAGCTGCCGACAGTTAGCTTGATGAATCAGTCAGAATGAATAGGACTGTACAGTACACACATTTGTGATTAAATTATTTTGTGTAAAGATAAGTTAATGCCATCATTCATATTGTTTCACTAAAGTTTGCCAGAAGTTTTTGTGCATGAGATGACAAGTCCTCCTTAGCATGTAATGCTGCACAGTATAACTCCAGGGTTAGCTTTAGTGTTAGCTTTGGCATTAGGTATCATCTCTTTATTAGACATGAAAGCCTAATGCTGTTACATTCATTCGCTAAAAGATTTCCCTAGTTTGATTCATGTAAACATGATTTCCAGAATTGCTTTTTGCTTTTTATTTAAATTGTCAGGTCATAATTTTGCTTCTCAATATTTATGTCTGCACTGAACATCTTGTAAATCTGCTCTATCTGTGTGCTTCTGTCATTTCCTTTGTGCTGCAGACGTTTTTGTGTGCTACAGACGCTACAAGGTAGCATGAGCTAAAAGTTTTACGGACATAGCAACAGCAACCTAGGGAGGCGAGACTTATAACTTGTTTTGCAAAGAGTCAGTTGACCTGTCCATGCTCTGCCCACAAATGCATTCTTTCGTAGCTTTTCGTAACTTTACGGAATGTAAACAAAATTCCTATTCAACATAAAAAGAAATTGTAGTGCACTTTGTTTAGATAATGTAGTTCATAGTGCTACGCTAACAAGCTGGACTGTGTTGTTGTAGTTAACATTGCTATGGTAACATTAGCTCGAGTACACAACAACAAACATCCAATCTTGAAACACATTTGAAATTAATAACACATTGTCATTTCTCAATGTGGATAGGATTTTTTTTCAGTGTTTTGTAAAGATTGTCCAACACATTTGTGGGTGGAGCATGGATAGTTTAGTTGTGTGGTAATATACTTTATTCATGTGGAAATTCAGTGCATTGCTCTTTTCATTGTAGGCATCATTACAGGCTTGGAAGATTTCATGAGATTTCTTAGAAATTAAATCGTTAAAAAATAAAAAACAATGCCTGCTGAGCTGACCTTAACTCTAACTCTTGGAAACTGTTTGGAACTTTTATACCAGTTGGCTGATGCAAATTCCAGCTAATTTGCAATTGAAAATGTATTTATTTATTCTGGCTCTTGGTCTGCCAACAAAAAAAACTGTAAACAACATTGCTATTGTTTGGAAAGTCTGTTGCTGAGTGCCTTTCTTTTACCTACCACTTGCAGAAATTGATGGTGTTTTTGTTTTTTTGGTTATTTTTTCTGAGGTAACTGCAGTTTTTATCCCTGTGCCTCAGAGGCCAATGATACAGAACGACACAGAGGCTTAAACATAAGAACGACAGAATGACATTAACAAAGAGCGACAGAGTGACATTTCACCCGCGACGGGGGAAAAAATGGGTTTATCTCTCATTTTGTGCACGCGGAGGGACTGTAATTGCTCGCTCACATTTGAGACCGTGGGTGACAAGCTTGTTGAAATCGATAATCGTGTTTTTAGGGGTAAAGGCCAAGAAGGCTCCTACTCCTCCACACACGTAAGCACAGTCATGCTCAAATGACTGTGTTCATGATGGCGAAAACAACAATGGAGCGTGTTGTGTCATTAAGTCTGGTATATACAGCAGGGCCTTTGGGATAACAAAGGGAGGTGATGCAGAGAGAGACTTACTCATAGCTCTAACTAAAGAAACCCCATGAGCACTACTGCACCTGGGGATTTGCTGTGTTGCTGAAGTGATTGGTTAGCATGTTAACTGGTTCAATTTAAGGTGGTTTTGAAAAGAATCCAGCGTGCTGGCTGGCACAAAGGAGCACGCAGCTAAGAATCTACATTGAGGAGAGTTGTTAGATGTTTGCAACTTAATTTGCAGGCAATGACAGTTACGCAAAGCAATTAAAAAACTATCAAAGTTGCACACATCACATTCAGTTACTCCACTACTAAGCCAAATTAGCAGCTTGTATTTCCTCAAATACCATATTGTCTCACTATATACAGTCATCATTTACATATTTACAGTATTGTTATAATACTGTATATGTAGGTACTGTATACCTCTTACTAATTTTTTATCACTGCCATTCTTTTACTTAGTTGTATATCTGTCCTTTATATGTGATTCTTTACTAGATATTTGACTTTTAAATCTGTTTATGTTAAGCCTTTTAAAATTGATGTTTAGGTAGCTGTTATGCTTGTCTGTCTTAGAAGTGCATCAGCATCTAGATAATTCATTTTCTCGCTGCGTAGATAATGATGACAGCAGACTAGAGAAGAATAAATACTTACACAAGCAGCTGTTTAAACAGCTGTTGTTATTAGCTGGCTAGTTAAACCAACTTTGAAACATTAGCTTCGGGAAGCTCGTTTGTTGGTTTGTCAAGGCTTAGGAAATTGATAAAATGCAAACTAATAAACTTTGATAAAGGTGATCAGGATCTTATTTTACAAACACGCAATAAACCAACTTCTGTTTCATTTTCTTGTGCATTGACCCATTAAAATTAGTCATTTGAAATGATGTTGTTGAATATTATAACATGGCACGTTACAAGGCTTTTGATCAGCTGTTTCACAAAACTTGTTTCATGGAGTTGAGACACTTGGAACTGTTGCAGCTAAGTTTCAAATGAGTTGCAGCAAGCTTTACATTATGCAACTGAAATTTAGTTTCCTGTAAGTTTCAACCAATTAAAGTTCATGAACGTCTCACAGTGTAAAGCTAGCCATAGTGCTTCATATAGTGTATTGGGTAACATCTTTGTCTTCCATTTGGCATTATAAGGTTTTTGATTGGCTGTTTCATGAAACAGGTTCCATGAAGTTCAAACACCTCCAGCTGTTGCAGCTGAGTTTCAAAGGAGTTGCAGGAAGCTTTACATTATGCAATTTAAGTGAAATTAAATTTGTTTCAAGTAAGTTTTAAGCAAGTTAAGCTGCAGTAACATCTCATAGAGTAAAGCTTGGATATAGTGCAGTGGGTAACACCTTTATCTTACATGTGGCAGACCAGGGTTCAGTTCCTTGCTTGGGCAAGAGCATCACACTATACCAGTAAGAGTCCTTCAGCAAGACTCCTAATACTACATTTGCCTACCTCTGTAACTTTACAGAGATAACGGTAAATTAAATGGGAAGTTGCTCTGGATACGTGTGTCTGCAAAATACCATAAAATATTGAATTAGTGCTATAAATACAGCACAACATAAAAGTAATTTCTGTTACTTATTTTCATTTTTAATGTTAAACAACTCAACCACAAAATTAATTGAAACATCCATCAACATCCATCACAACTGACTGTTGTTCAGAATCGTGGGCTGTTACTTTTAGTTCATGATAAAATGAGTTGCTTGTGTGCTGTTATTCATTGTGTGTGTGTCTGTGTTTATAATTAGTCATTTCCACATAAAGTAATAAAAGACTACAAAAGGGAGTGAGTCATTGAGTTAGTGATTCATTCAAAAGCATAACAGTGTGTTCACACACTCTTTCTGCAGGTACATCCGTGATGCGCGTGACTGCGTTCGATGCTGATGACAGCACCATGCCCAACGGCCTGGTACACTACCGCATCCTGAACCAAAGCCCACACATCCCTATCCCCAACATGTTCACCATTAATGGAGCTACAGGAGAGATCAGTACCATCGCAGCGGGCCTGGACAGAGAGGTCAGTCTCAACACTGCTCCTGCACCACTCTAGCACTCTGAAACTGAAGTGATTTTGGCAACGTGATTGTTTTCTGACATTGTGTGGTCTGTATGTATGTACACTGCTGATGACAATTTTTGGAATTTGGCAGGCAAGTGTATAAATTGACTAACATTTTAGTCCTCAGTTCTCAAATAATTAGTAGAAAGCTTGGAAACTGTAAAAAAAAAAAAGATGTGTCCAGAATGAAGGACAGAGCTGTAGATGATTCTGTAATGATTGAGAAAGTTGTTAAAGAGTTAAAATCCAAATTGTCTTGCAAAAGTAGTGATCAAATCTCAAGACAGATAATGTGACAGATGTTGAAAATTATTAATACATTGCATAATTGCCAAGGAAATTTGCACTTAATTACAGTATACTATTTATATTTTATTAACTTAAATTTAATAACATAATAAAGAAAATCTGTGACAGAAAAAAACAGTAGTGAACCATAAGACAGTCCAGAAAGCAGTTTTTCTGCTAAACACTGAAATACAGTCTCATGGACTGTATAGGTTTCGAGAATGCTTTATCAGAAAGGGGTGATTTGACAGACACGAAATGTGTGCCAATGGTGTAGCCAAAATTTCATTTCAGTGGGGCCTAGTTACAGGTTGAGGGGGCCAGATAGCAAGCATTAAAGCTCAGAGACATCACCAAAGGGAATATGATGACCACCACCTAGCCAACTTTGTTACATCTAAATTGTTAGAAAATTGCTCACCCATTGCCATAATGAAAGGGAAAAAACATTCAAATATTAAACACACAACACACGATTGCTCACCTTGCATGTACCTGCCCATATTAGTAACTATAACAACCGACAGCCTATCACAGTGGGTAAAGGCTGATTGACCAGAATCTTACCTTTTACAGTACTAGGCATAGACATCTAGGGTGAATGCTTGAATGTTCTCTGCGCATTTTCACAGTGTTGAACTTTGTTTTCTTTACCTTGTTTAAGTAATACTTGTTAGCCAGGTAAGTAGCCTATAGTAAAGCTTGCTATGGTGATAGCATCTGCTAAAAATTTGCGATAACCAAGGATAGAGCTTTATTAGTCTCTTTTATTTATTCAAGGTAGAAAAATGTCTTCTGAACTCAGCGCCTTTGCCCATGACAACTTTCCATTTTGTAATACTTTCATTGGCATCTGGCATTTTTTTACGGTCAGAAATCTGGGTTAGTGGGTGTAGCTATGCCCCAGATGCATGCACAACAAAAGCACACTTGCCAGAAATAAAGTGGTACATTTTTCCGCAAACACACAAGAAGATCTCATTAGCTACTACTTGGCTTCAGCAAAAATTCTCGAATAGTTTTTAAAAATAACACTCCATGAACTTTTTTCAGTTCAGTGACTTTGTCCTTCTTCTTCATGTATTGTGGTCATGGTGTGCAAAGATGCTTTTTACTAGCTAACGTAGTTGTTTCTTTCCCATTGGATTGATTAAAACCAGTGCATGGCAGTACGGATAGACGTGAGAGGCAAGATTCTGATATCTGTGGTTATTTTAGCGGGCAGTTTACATCAGAGATAGTCAGAGACAGTACATGTACTCTGCACATTTACTCGGCAGGCAGACTGTATGAGCCTACTAACTAAAATGCCACAAAAAAATGTTCTGCAGTCTACCTCAAAATACCTTAAAATGCAGCATCTGCCACCAGCCCCTCCTAGCAAGCTAGTAAAAAAGTACTTTTCATTTATGAATTTTCATATCAAAATTTTTCCTTTGGTTATTGGCAAATAGTCAGCTATGTTTTAGAATGGCTGGTCAACTATATGAATTGAATAGTCATATAAACCCCTGTTGTACAACTAAACCCTACAGAGCTGAGCTGATTAGTACAGTTCAGAAATGAAACTTTGTCCTCTAATGCACAAGCAAAGCCAAATCTATGAGATACTAAGAGCTTGTCGTATTCTTCTTTGCCTTGAGTGCTCCACTCGGATATAACCAACTGTAGCCGCCAAGCAAGCTTGATCAATGTTACGCTCAAACACACGTTAGGGGTCATGGAGTGAACCCAGCTTCTACATCCCTCCAGCTCTTACCTCCTTGCTGGTTAGCATACTTCTTTAATCTCTCTCCCTCACTCACCCTCTCTTTCTGTGTCTCACACACACATACACAGACTTGCAAGGCTTCCCTTAACCTCTCTTTGCTGCGCTAATGAGTGAGGTCACACAGAGGTCAACACAAGCCATGCCAGAGTACATCAGCAGACCTGCGGCAGAGTCTTCCAGTTTTTCCTTCATCTTTCTGTGCTTTTCTTCATCTTTCCGGGCTGCTTCATCCCTCATTTTCCCTCTGCAGAGACTACATCTCTCTCTCTCTTGCTTTCTCTCTTTCTTTCTCTCTCTAGGTCAATAACTGCATATTGATGATAGCCGAGGGTTATAATCCAGGTTGAAAATATTGATTTAATATCAGCAATAGAAAGGAGGTAGTGAAAGTGTTATTGTTTTGTGCTTTGGTTTTATTTATTTAATATAGGCTATTGACTAAACCCATAATGGCTTTGTTAATTCCTTTTTAATCAACAGAGCAGAAAAGCAGCAAATAGAGACATAGGGTGCAGGTGAATGAAGCATCACTGAGGCATGTGCTACAACAAAGCTACCAGCTGAGCAAATCTTGTCATGTTTTTCATGTGTGTAGGTCTATGTGCTGTAGCAGGGATCTGTTGGTCTGCAGTACAAAGGTCTATGTGCTGGTGGCTATTGATCTATATTATGTAGGTCTGTGTGCTGTAGCAGTGGCTATTGATCTACGGTATGTAGGTCTAAGTGTTGGAGGCTGTTGGTCTGCTGTAAGTAGGTGTATGTTTTGTAGCAAATATCTAATGGTCTGCAGTATGTAGGTCTACGTGCTATAGCAGATATCTGTTAGACTGCAATATGTACATAGGTCTGTGTGCTTTAACAGTTCTAGTGCTAGTGGCTATCAGTCTGCAGCATGCAGGTCTATGTGCTAGTGGCTATTGGTCTGCAGTATGTAGGTCTATGTACTGGTGGCTATCAGTCTGCAGCATGCAGGTCTATGTGCTAGTGGCTATCGGTCTGCAGCATGCAGGTCTATGTGCTAGTGGCTATCGGTCTGCAGTATGTAGGTCTGTGTGCTAGTGGCTATCAGTGTGCAGTATGTAGGTCTATGTGCTAGTGGCTATCAGTCTGCAGCATGCAGGTCTATGTGCTAGTGGCTATTGGTCTACAGTATGTAGGTCTATGTGCTGGTGGCAGCGGTCTGCATTATGTTGGTCTATGTGCTACGGCCATTGGTCTACAGTATATAGATCTGTGTGCTGGTGACCATTGGTGTCCAATATGTAGGTCTGTGTGCTGTAGCAGATATCTGTTGATCTGTATTAAGTTAGTCTATGTTTTGTATCTATTGGTCTGCAGTATGTAGGTTTGTGTCCTGTTGGCTGTTTCTCTGCAGTGTGTAGGCCTACACAGATGAGTCAAAACATTATGACCACAGATGAAGTGAGTAATGTTGATTATCTTAAAACAGCAGTGCATGTCAAAGTCTGGGGTAAATTAGATGGTCAGTGAAGAGTCAGTTCTTGTAGTTGACATGGATCCCGAAGAAATGGGCAAGCGTGAAGACCTGATTGACTTTGACAAGGATCAAATTGTTATGGCCAGACGACTGGGTCGAAACATCTCTGAAACAGCAAAGCGTGTAGGGGTGCTCACAGTGGTGAGTACAGCCCGACAGTGATCTGAGTAGGGACAAACCATGAATTGGTGACACAGTGTTGGGCGAGTGTGATGAACGCTTTCCTGTTTGGTCTTAACCAACAGAAGGTCTACTGTGGCATTAGTCAAAGATATTTTTAAATGAAGGTTACAGGAGACAACAGGTCACAACACACAGTGCATGGCACCCTATCAGAGGCACACAGAGGACCAGCAGCATACCAGGCAAGTAGTCATAATGTTTTGGTTCATCAGTGTATGTCCTGGTGGCTGCTGGTCTGCAGTATGTAGGTCCATGTCCTGGTGGCTATTGGTTTGCAGTATGTAGGTCCATGTCCTGGTGGCTATTGGTCTGCAGTAAGTAGGTCCATGTGCTGGTGGCTATTGGTCTTCAGTATGTAGGTCTGTGTGCTGTAGCAGGCTGGTGCTCTGTGCTCATGATGCAGGTGAGGTAACACCCATTAATCACTCTGCCTCCCACCTGTGCTCAGTAACACCCTCTGCCTGCCACCTGTGCTCTACCGCCAGAACTAGGGCACACCTGTGGGTTTACATACCTTCCATCAGAGATAATAACAGACACACACAGGTTGCAAAATGAATCATCCTCTTTATTTTGTTTGAAAAATAAATAACTGAACTAAAGTACCATAATTATGACAATAACCACATGTGGGCATAAGGTAGAAGGCCTGCTTGCTGTATTGGGGCTGCTGCAAGGCAGTGTTGTAGTCATTTAAAGGCCAGATTTCACAGAGCAGAATTTCTCTGCTTAGCTGGATAACTTGGCCACAAATCAAGACTGACTGATAGGAATATAGTCATGTGAAAAAAATAGGACACCACATTAAATATTTTGCACTGTATTAAGAAATGTGGACATACTAATATTTGATCTTCTTTCAAACAGTTAAAAAACTATTAAAAAAAGATTCCAATTCCTACTTAAGAAAAACTTAGGACACCCTATGCCCTAATAGCAACTGTTTACCCCTGAAATAACGTCAATTACAGGTTATAGTTTCCTATAACCGTCTATCGGTCTCTGATGTCGACTGGGAGAAGGTTTTTCCCACTCTTTCATGCAGAGTATTTTTAGTACTGTGATGTTTGAGGGTTTTCTTGCATACACAGCTCATTTCAAATCACACCACAGCATCTCAATATGATTAAGATCTGGGCTTTGACCTGGCCGTTCCAGAACTCTCCATTTCTTTCTTTTGATCCGTTCCTTGGTGGATTTACTGGAATGTTTTGGGTC